ACAAGAGCAAATAATGGAACTGGAGGTTCAGTGTCAAGGCATCACATTTAGTGAAAGTGTTATTTCTACTGCATCCAGTAGAAGCTTAGGCCTGCTTATGTTAGGCTTAAATTTATCTGCAAAACATTTTCTGTAACATAAATAAGGTATTAGGCATTTGTGCATACTGAATAGAAAATAATACAGAAATATGACTAAGAGATCAAATTCTTAGTTTCCCTTTTGTATATTCAAATATAAAAATATATTGTATATTCTCAGTGACACTAAATCAGGAGTAATTCATTGATTTCAAAGGTTACAGCAGTGTAACTGAAATCAGCATCTATTGCCAGTGTTCCCCCCGGCCCGGGAAATTTGAAATATTCAAATGTAGTTAGAAAAGTCAACAAACCAAAAATCCCCCAATCTACTTTGCTACTGTTAAAAGTCCATTGACTTTTTTCCCTAATAAATAATTTCTAAAGAAGCTATAAGTAATGGTGGAGTTTCACCACTCCATTTTTTTACCAGAAATAACTACCCAGAAGATTCACATTCTCTTTTCAGAGACGCAATAGCATCTTGATTTGAAGATACTAACCTGCTGGAACTTTGAAGCCATCCTAATTTTATAGCCCTAGAATTCACTTCTGATTTTTTTACCCTACGCTTCACAAGCTGTGTTTTCATATTTATCCTAGTAATAGCAGACTAATATAACATTGTGCTTTGAGACCCACTGGTTTGCCACGTTTTATCCTGGTAAGCAGGATATACACTTAACAGCAGGATAAAAGCAGGCCTTTGGGAGATTTACTTACCAAAGAATCCAAACACTAGGTTCAAGTTAAAAAGGCATAAGCCCATAAAATTATCAGGGCAGATGCCACATCTCTTTGTGTACACCAACCTCTTCCTCTTCACTCATTGATGCATGAAAATTGTGAATTTCTCCAGCAGATCTGTCTCTGCTTTGATGCTTTTCTTTAGGGACAGAGAAATACTCAAACAAGTTCAGATCAAGAAATGAAAAAAGAAGTTTGCAGATCCACATAGACCAACATGAGCTATGCTGGATCATAGAAGAAAAAAATTCTTATAGAGAGACTGTGTACTTATATGACCGATGGCATAAATATTTACACTCCAACTTCAAATTATGTAAGAATTTTGGAAAAGAGTCTCTCATCAACAAAGTCTATAAAACTTGCTTATATCAATGGCACATATTGTTAGCCTGTATTTTTGGACAGAAAGAATTATAACATTGCTATCGATACCAAAGATTTTTCACACACACCCCCTTCCCCCAAAAGAAAAAAAAATACAATATGCAAACCAAAAATTAGTTTATGTTCTTTTCTTAGGTCCCTCATTCCAGAAATTCATTCACCATCGCCACCAAGGAAATTCAAGAAAGAGCTTGTCAGAGTCCTTTTTGCTTTAAAAAGCCACTGCCACACATTTCCAATCTATTTTTTGAGCATAGAATATTTCTTTCTGAAATTATCGCTCTTCTTTTGAGTATTTCTGTGTGAAATATTTATGTTTCTTTTGCATATTAGTCTTAAAAAACAGGTTTTTTTCTGCAATGAATAGACTCATATACTACCAGAAAAGGCTTTTCATGATTTAAACCAAAAATTGTTCATGGGACTCATTTCTGTCTTTCCCAGAATAATAAGGTCCTCAGTGCCAGGGTTTGGAGTTCTTTTGGCTTGTAGATTTTTATTTTTTTTTTTGTCATGGAAATGGTACTACTTCCAGTAGAATTCACCCCAGATAGAAAACCTCAATGATGCAGAAAATAAAGATTCATGTTGTATTACCTATGACCCAGAAAAGCTGAAGGGATTTACAATATTCATCTTTGACTGGCTGAAAGGGCATGAGTCAGAGGATAGAATGGAGAACGGAAATAGTACTGGACTGTAAGAGGCAGCTTTCTGTAGTTAGTTTCTAGCTTCCTGAAAAAGGGACCTTCTCATCACTGAGTTTGTCATTAGAAAAATGACATTTACCTCTATGGGGTTTATTTCTCAGGTCCGTTGCAACATAAACAAAAGTCTCTGCTTGAGATTGTTAAAGTGGGGAACCAAATGACTTCAGTAGGTCTTTCAACTAATCATTAAGATGTTAAAAAAAGGCCATCAATGTTCACTTTGGGAGCACAGAAAACATATCCACTTGCAACTATGATTTTTTAATCCAATTTTTCAGGCTTAATACTACTTTTTTGGCCAAATACTCAAGTTTCAATAGCTTTATTTTTGTTTCTGACATAGTAATGGATACTTCTAATTAAGTAATACCTTAGTATTTACTCATCTTTCCTATTACTACAAGCCGATTAGGAAAGGTCAGGAAGTCTAGGGTGATGACATACCTATTCACGTCTCACGTTTCTTCTGAACACAGTAGCTTTAGAATCCTGTTCTAGATTCTCATCCAAAGTACTTTATATATCAAATAGAAAATCACCCTGTAAATATCTTTTTTGGTTGAAAAAGAAATGTAAGAATCTCAAACATTTGTGAATTGTGGCCTTTCTCTTGTTCTTGAAGGTGAAAAAAACAGGCACATTTTAAAGCATTAACTGAACAATGAGCTATTATTTTGCTTTCTCTGCCCTAGGGCTTTTATCATTCCATAACTGCAAAATCACTGCTAGTGGCTTACTTACTAAACCCTAAGAGATGCAGGGCCAAGTGTCGGTTTTGTGCAATGACAGAAGTGCCCCATTTTTTCTGGTATGTCAAACAAAAAAATCTCCTTGTGTTTTTACAAGCATTTTAGTAATACAGAAAAAAAAAGTGGTGTTGTCACTGACATTCTACTCACACACAAAAAAATACATCCATTAGACAAGCCTTTGATATCAGTGCAAGATCTCTATATTGTAGATACTGCAAAAACAACTGGCTTGTCCTCCCATGAGAGCTAGGTCCCTCCATGGTAGGTCTAGATTAATTTTTCCTTTGAAAACATGTGAACAATCAACAAATTTCTCCCAATTTGCCTTCCAGAACGATCCAATAATTTAAGAATCTAAGTCTTCATGTAAGATATAGTTGTTGCTTTTCAGTGAAGAGAAGATGGAATAAGCTGCACATAGCTGGGACACTGGCTGCAAGTAGCTTAAGCATGGTGATTGTAGCCACAAAGCTAGGAAAAAATCCAACTGGTGTTATCCCTGTCCCACAATAAACTAGGTTACTACTGCAACAGCAGTTGCAAACCACTTGGAAACAGTTTTGTTGATGTCTTGTTTCTCCTGAACATGTGTAATAAAGCATTCTGCCCCCTCAACCCCAAGAGAGATTCTAAGCCAAAACTATCTAAATATTCTAAGCCACAATATTTCAAAAATAAGACACAGAAAATAAATATTTGAAGTCTTTCTATTACAATTTAATTTTGTTATCAAAATCAAATTGTATTCAATAGTTTATTTCTTTAATACTGCTGGTCTTTCTCTGCTCTTTCCTAATGTGACAGCAAAATAAATAATCATAGTGAAATTTAAATTGCCAGAGTTATCAGTCACACAGGTGAGACGCTATATGAGCTGAGAAAGACTGTTCACAATGCTCAGAACTATTATTTTAGACCCTGTATAGGACCATGCCGATACCACTGCATCATGTTAATGATTTGTATTATTGAGATTTCTTATGCCAACATAAAAGCTAGAAACTTATTTAAAAACTATAAAAATGAAAACTAAGATTCTGCAGAATTAGACAGAAACCTCAAAAAAACTATAGAGGTTGCTGAATGCACAATGGTTAGAGTCCAACATTTTCTTGATTGAAGCTGGGTCAGGTTGTTAGCTACTCCAAAATACAAAGACAGTAGTGTTGTGAGGACACAATTTTTGATAGTGAAAGCATAAACTTATAGTATCTTTCTGCATATATTTTCTTCCTTCTTTTCTTCCCTCAGTTTTTGCTAAATAAACTCCACTAGATGCTTATGCATAGAAATAGCAGGGGAAATATTTCTTAGATTACAGTATCTAATTATATTTTTCTTTTCCTGTTTCTCTTTCAAATGAGAAATTGCTTCTTAGATCACATAAGTTTGCACTGGTGGCAGCCACATCACGAAGATGGAATTTCCTACCTGGAATTCTTCTCTGTGACTTAATTGCACCAATGCAGATTTTTGGTTTTCAGCAATAGTAAAACTTAAAGTATTCAGATACGTGAATACCATTCCTGGGTACTTCTAGAAACTTAAAGTTAGAAGAGGCTGGAAGACTAAGGGAGCATAAATCAGAAGAATAGCACTTGTTAATAGCACTTCCTAAACAGGAAGAATAGCACCTGTTCTGTCAGATGTCCTAAAAATTCTTTATTCATCTTAGCAGGCTCTACGTGCTGCTTACTAGGAAAAGAATAATCAATTATCAGTGCAGCAGTATTACTAAGTCACAGATAAAAATAATCAGGTAAATATGTTTTCTGTCTTTGCAGCTAGAATTGCTTTTCACTATTACATATAAACAGTAAGAGGTATATAAAGAGTGATCACTTACTACTTGAAGTAAAGAAAGATACCCAAATCCTACATTATCAAAGTTTACTTTCACGTTTTTCCACCGGGCACTTTGATTGTTTTTTATGAGTTCCTCGCACTGACTAAAATTGTTGATTTGTTCGACTTCAAACCTTTCATCAGTTGTGGTGTTAACACAGTAGTAGAACTTCCCAGCAAACAGATTTACTCCCATGATGCTGAAAATTAGCCAGAATATAAGACAAACGAGAAGCACGTTCATGATGGATGGAATTGCTCCTAAAAGGGCATTCACAACCACCTAGTACACAAATATAGGGGGAAAAAGAAAAGAGTGTAAGAATATTTACAGCAATAAAGGTTTGCATACTGTTTTACCAATGCTTAATAAATGCTTGTTTAGAAACTAGTACTATAAATGTTAAAGCAATACATTAATAACTGTAGCCTTTCACTGTTCTTTTAAATACTTAACATTAGAACATGTAATGAAAGAAAAATAAGTGATAAAATTAAAATAATTAAAAGAAGAACAAAAGAGAAGACCTGGTGGTATTAAGATGAAGCCTGACACTGATGTGTTCTATATATATATTAAAAAAAAGTGTTAAATATAAATACAGACATAATAAAATTCTAAAAATGCATCAAATTATGGCTTAAAAATGCTTAAAGAAAAATGGCAACCTGTAGATTTGATCAACATAGCTTTGAAATTTAAGCTGAAAACACAAATGCCATGAATCTAGAAACTAAGCTCTACATTGAAAGGATTATGCAGGAATTAAATACATATCTTTATTGCCTTATTGGTCCATGCAAGATTATAACAAAGATTAATTTCTTTGTATAGAAAAGCCAGACAGTTTTGCAATATGTGTCTACTTGAATCAACATAATTTATTTCAAGCTCCAGTCTTATTGTTTCATGTACTGAGTTTAAGTCAGTAATACCCTTCGTTTATCTAAAGAAGGACATATATCATGGACATATTTAGGGGTTTTCATTTTGCATTTTAAATTACTTTTGGCCAGTCGCCTTCTCAGCCCCTTGCAGGCAAGATAGCAGTAATTACTTATGTAGATAAAAGGTGCATTATTCTGATATATACAGGAATTAATCACATGTGTCTGTCAGAGCTATCAAAAATTTTATTATATTTGTTTGGCTAATAGCTGAGCAATCATTTCTCCTTAAGCATCCAATATCAGATCTCATTTACAAGTTGTATTTTATTTTAAATTTTACTTTTTTTCTCTATAAAACTTTTAGGACTTTGTAGGAGGGTAAAATAAAATATATAGTAGGGCTCAGATTCTCAGTAATCCAATTCCTGCAGTAAGATAAGAAAGCATTGGCATGGACACTTGGAGTGCATTAAGGTGTCTTAGTCCATCTTTGTTCCCTGCTTTCTGCAACATAGAGATCTTCCCTGCTACCAACATAATTCTGAGCAAGCTCAGAGCTGCTCCATCTTACTACCTGTATTTCACAGCCTCTTGAAGGACTTTGGAAGTAGAGTGTTGTGGTTGAGTTACTCGTCACTCAGCACCCTCCTCCTCCCAAATGTTACAGCCAGGAATTAGGACCTGTTTAGAGATCTTAGGTAAAAATGTTATTTTCAGGGCATATATTCTTCTCATTTTAAGATCCTCCTCTATTGCTGGACAGTAGAAATGGGACCTTCTTATAAATGAGAATTATCCATATAAACCCATGAATTTTTAAAATTTAGCTTTTCTTTGCAGCATCTATTTTTGGTGATAACTTTAAAGGAACCATGCTTGCTTCTTGAGATCTATATTGTAGAAAATGTGAAGTATCTAGGTGATGCATAAGCTAGCCATTAAAAAAAATGTTTAAAAAGGCTAACAAGGTCCCAGCAATATTCTGAACATAAGAAACCATTTTCAAAAGAGTCGGGGAAATGATTTTTTACTATACTGTGGGGAGAAAAAATCTGTTGCTACTTAGCTTGATGGAACAGAGAACAACATAAAAAATTTGGAATGCAATGATTCTGCAATTTATTCCAAGTCTGACCTGATCTATGACTCTGTATTATGCTATTGCTGCTTTGAAATTCCAGGCCAGCTATTGCTTTTCTTATCTTTTCCTTTTTGTTGTTTTTTTTTTTTCCTTCACCCATAAAAATATTCTGGATGTGTTATACTGATTGAATTCCTCTGTTTAATCTTGGTGAAAAACCTGAAAATTAAGATGTCAAGAAAAAAAGATGGGGATTTAGTCCTGCAACTTAAATAAATTAAGGTTACCTGTTCTCACACAAAGAATAGTGTTGTATGCATTGAATGCCTGTAGCAGTTCCTTTTTAACAACCCTGAGATCCATTGGACCACAGCACAGATCCAGAACAGGCAACAGAATGCTAACAGCTACAGTAATTGCTACAACAATTATGAATTGATAATAGTTGCAGAAAAAAAGATTTCTACAAAATGCCGTCAGCGTGTCTCACATCTGTAGCTGAGCAGATAATGCAGTCTTGCTGCTGAGACTGCATCTTGAACAAGACGTGAACAGCTTCCAGCAACTGTTCCAATAACAGTTCCAACATCTTATTTCATATAGGTCACTGAAAACCCATCAAATGGTAACAATTTTTGGTCACTACTGACCTGGCCTGGATGCGAACTGGTGACCTAGAGATGAAAGGCTCTGTATCCTATTACCAACCCCTTGAGCTATCCAGTCCCCCTGGAAGGTTTTTTAAGAAAAGAAGAAAAGAAAATTAAAACTTTTGTAAGTTGTTGTTTGTTTGCATTTTGTTTCTGATTTTTTTTTTTTTTCCCCAACATTGTTGAGCCTTTGCCCTATCATATTTATAATGTAAAACTGTATCTTTACATGCTGGTCAGATGCTTGGCTGACTGTCAAGTCCAGCTTAGGAAGAAGTCTTTAATTTCTTCAACACAGACACTTAGAGTCAATTGTTTTATCAGTGGTTTTTCCATTTACGTTTTTGGTTTCCTTTGGGAATAGCTGAGGTATATCAAGATAACCAGGATATTAGCTTACATAATATATATCCCAGATAGCACCCATACATATACACACAACACCTAGGCACATAAGTTACAGCAAATGGACAGAAAAAAGTGAGAACCAATTGAAAAGTGAACTGAATGCAGAAAAGAGATCAATTAGCATTTCTTACTGAGGTGAAAATTTAGCAAATAAAAATCTTCAGTCTTGTCTTGTTGAAAAGAGTCTGTAGTGGGTTAAAAGAACGTTGGCAACTATAGCTCTTATTTTTGCTTGTTCTGCAAAACTAGACTAGATATAAGTGATTCTAAACGTATTTTTTATTTTAAAAGAGACTTTTTTTGGGCCTATTTTCTGTTGTTCCTTGATACAGAATAGTGTGCCAATAAAAAAAAAAATGTTTGCAGAGTTGTTAGTTTTTTAAAACAACTTATATACTTCCTCAAGACTGGGATGTTGTTGGTCAGGCTGACTCTGGTGAGCCAGCTGCAAGAGCCCAAGCTGATCCTGCTTGTTCACCTTCCTATAGCTTCAGATAGGTGGAATAGCAGTAAGTGCAAGTGAGAAGCAAAACCTGACACCTACAAAGACAAATGGGCACTTGACTGTTTTACATCTCCGATGATATTGATCCAGGAAAAAATACATCTTTGTGGGAATCAAACCATGTCTTCTCTAGAAGAAAGCAGTATTTAATGTATATGCACAATTTTTGTCACGTTTACATTTTCTTCCAACATCAGATATATACGTAAGATAAAAGAACTACTGCAATGCCTATTGTCTGTTTTATCTTCTGGCTGATGTGACATTATGTGAATACAAATCAGTAGTCCAGTCTGTTGTTGTTGTTTGTATCTCTTTTTTGGCAACTGTCCAAAGAAGACAGCAAAATGGAACTGAAAAAAAAATCACTATCAATCAGTTTTGCTACCAAAGCTGTGCAAATGTACAGAATGAGGATTGTGTAAAATACCAGCTTATCCCTGCTGTATGATTAGAATATAAGGAAGCTTTACTAGATTCAGCCTTGTTGTGGGACACATATCTGAAACACACAGTGAGATATAAATGTATTATATTTCCAACAGTAAAATAGCTTCACTAGGTCCTGGCACCTCAACAGCCACAGGCTTTCCAGGAATTCCTACATTGGACCTGACTAATGGATATATCAGGGCCTCCTGAAATCTGTAAACAAACCAGGAACAATCTTCAGTAGTATTTATCCAATTTTTCCATAACTTTTGCAGCTTCTGTGAAGAAGTTCCAAATTCTGTCCCTGGTGCAAATGAGGAAGAAATTACCATCTTTGGGTTGAAAAGGAAGATTATAGGATTATGACTGGAATATTCTTCCTACTTTAAAAGACAAAATACTTTATTTGCCTCCACTTTGGAAGTTGTCAACTTCATAATTTTAGGCTTAAAGAGGAAAAGTTTCCCAAAGATTTGATGTGCCAGATCTTGTATCAGCGTCCTTTGAAGGAGTCCATCAAAAGCTATAGAGATTATTTAACTGTTAACTCATATTTTTTTCTGCATGTACATTCTCACATAAGATCCACATACAGAAGCACAGAAGGCCAAATGATTCTTACTTCACCAGGACCTTTATGGATGAAATTGAACCTTATCTTCTGTGTATGCTATGTGGCCTTAACAAGTGCAAAACATGCTGCTCTTCTGGTCAATTCCTCGATAGCTGAGAAAGCCTGAGAAAGCCTTCAGAAACTCAAGGAAGAGGAACAAATTGTGGGCTTGAACACACATGTAAAAAAAAAAAGAGTATTTTCTTTCTCTTTGAGAAAGACTATCTGTATAGTCACACAGTCGTAGACTTCTGATGGTCCTTGTTACAAAAAGCCATTCATCTCTGTCTTAGCAGTACAAAGATTGAAGAACCAATTGTTCAAAGACAGCAGAATGCAGAGAGAGTTTGACAATAGAACGTGTAGCATAAGCCACGTTAAAGCAAAATAGAAGAACTAATTCCTGACTCATGTGAAACATTGACACTGCCTTGGGCAGGATTAGGGAGTAAAATATGAGTATTGCCTTGTCTCAAACAAGTATTAATTAAGAACATCTGCCACAAAATCATGAATGTCCTCTGCTCAGCTGGTTAAAGTCCAGGCATACACAAAGCTGCCAGAGAGAGCGTTTGCACAGAAAGATTGAGCAAGCAGCCATTGGTTTAGATTCTTGGTCCACCACAGAGGTAAGATTGCTGGAATGAGCAGGTAGGTATGCTGTGAGTGGACAGCAATGGAGGCTCAGGTGGCACCCATGATC